TAAATGTCTTGTTAACAGAACAGAATCTTACACATGATACTCATGTAATATAAGGTGGACTATATACAGCTACATGTAGTAAGGATTAAATGTCTTGTTAACAGAACAGAATCTTACACATGATACTCATGTAAGGTGGACTATATACACCTACATGTAGTAAGGATTAAATGTCTTGTTAACAGAACCTACTATACATGTACTTAGGATTTAAATATCTTGTTAACATTTCAGAACTGTCGTTAATAACCCTGCACTGGTTCCTTACGGCATTTGCAAGTGTGGTACACATGAAGGTAAGACCACCAAGTAATAATTATTCTATTTTCTTGGATTTTTAGGGTTATTTTCATTGTTATTAACATTACAGGGCTCAAAATAATGTCCAGTAAACAGATAATGTTAGGCCAAAAGTGGCACTTGTCTGGCCTTTGATAAGTTGACTATACCTGACTTTGATTTAGTTAAAACTATTTACAGGTATCTTAGCACCTAATTTCTTTTTTTTGTTTTGTTTGTTGAACATTTGCAAATTTAGTAAGAGATGCAAAACAAATATGAATATGAATGTGGCCAAACAGACAGGGCAGAAAAACGGGTTCTACTTTCGAGGTTTATGCGTTAATAAGCTTYATATTTCATAAACAGGCTCTTTTGGGGCTGATTAACAAATTACCCAAATTTGGGGAAATTTAAGGAATGCGGATTTGAGATATAACGACCTGAACGTTGGGAGAGATGATATTTTGGTCAGCACAAAAACTAACATTTTCGCTAATACCTTGAAGTAGAATTGCTGGAGGTTAGCAGAATTTTGTGAAACGTTTAAAGCACAAGAGACACGAATGAAACACTAAACATTTTTTAGCATGAATGATCAGCACAAAAACTAACATTTTCGCTAATACCTCGAAGTAGAATTGCTGGAGGTTAGCAGAATTTTGTGAAACATTTAAAGCACAAGAGATATGAATGAAACACTAAACGTTTTTTAGCATGAATGAGAGATAAAGAAAAAAATTGCGAAAGTAGCAGCCTTGTCGTTTTTMTGCTCTGTGACCAGCCACGTATTGTTCAACCCAGTATAACCATTCATCCCATCCATATAATATCTTGTATTGTGTATATTTGTTGTGGTGGTGGTTGTTCCTGGTCATGGTAGTGGTGTGGTGTTATTAAAGGCTAGTATTTTATGTAGATATTACTGCGTATATGGGATGTCTACTTCTATGAAGGTTCTGTCACTCTCTTCAGGATCACACTGGGCATGCTCAAACTCAAGGTACATTTTTTTTAAATTTATCTTATTAAGATATAGGAAAGTTGGAAACTCAAATCCTTGTGCACTACCACAACATTCTTTCATTATTTACAACACTCAACTCACATGTTGATTTTTATGGAGGGAGGAAAACCAGAGAACCTGGAGAAAAACCCTCGTGGCAAGGGAGAGAACAACACAGCAAACAAACTCAACTCACATGTTGATTTTTACGGAGGGAGGAAAATCAGAGAACCTGGAGAAAAACCCTCGTGGCAAGGGAGAGAACAACACAGCAAACAAACTCCACTCACATGTTGATTTTTGTGGAGGGAGTTAAACCAGAGAACCTAGAGAAAAACCCTTGTGGCAAGGGAGAGAACAACACAGCAAACAAACTTCACTAACATTTTATTCAGTTCAATTGATAATCGAACCCACAACCCCAAGCATGAACTACACAACAATGAGTGACACCAGCAACAGCCCTTAGGTTCTAATTCACTTTCATGTTCAAACAAATTAAATTTAGTATCCTTTAAATTCTGAGTAGAACAGACCAACACAATTATGGTACATTTTCCAACGATACTCCAATGTAGCCCACTGGTTTATTTCCACACACAAAATTTTAAAAAAATAATTGATAATAATAATGATATTTTTAAGAGAATATTGTTTGATGTGTGTATCATATTTATTTTCACAGGAGCAGGTTATTCTAACTCTGGATAATTCTGCTCAAATCTTTAACGCATTGTCTGATATTCCTGGTGACATAACTGATCCTGAACTTTTGATAAAGGTATTATTACCACTGAATGTATATTATAAAGGACCTTTAAAAGCAATACCAAGCATGGAGGGTGGCAATGAAGGWTGATAACACATTTCAAAAACTCTATTTTTAATATGCACACTGTTCTGGGCATTACTGTTCTCTCTAGGGTGCTAAAAAGCACTAACTGATGTTTTAACAGTGAAAACAAAAGATGCAAAATGCTGTCATTTTGATGTCATGCAAGACAATCATTATCAAGGCAAAGATATTATTCTGAAAAAGGCTCATATAAGATACTGTAGTAAAGTYCCAAGAGAGATGTTTTAGCAAGGATGGTGATGCTAGAGACAACAGTGTACACATGGAAAAAAACCTCCTCATCGTTAATGCAGTGGAATCCTTTATGCTTGTCAGTGTTAAGATCTATGACTGGCTGTCTTTTTCTAATGGATTGGTTGACCAAATTGAAATTCTCAGTTAATGTTAATTGCCCTATTTCACTATGACGTCACATCAAAACAATCTATTGTTTAAACGTAAAGGATCATGGTCGTCGGTGGGGGTAAAATCAACGCAAATTCACCAAAAATTGTTTTAAAACCCGTATCAATCCACGAAGAGAAGTAGAATAGCCAGCAAATGCTCAGAATATTTTTTAGTACATATTAAAACATATTATATCTGAAAACCAGGTCATTTTAGATATTAAACCGTTTCGCTAGGAGCAAATGTTGTTGAATTTTCTATTGGATTTGGTGATTCTATCCCCCACATAAACAAGCAGTGACGTCATAGTGAAATAGGGCAATTACACCAAACATTTTTAGTGCCATAACTCTCATAAAAGATCTATGAATTTTAAAAGTATTTATAATTTATTGTTGTTGTTATTGTTTGTTAGGCATCTCAAAAGGCTTCTGCATCTCTCACTGAAGTGATCTTAGATGCACACAGGAAAAAACATCTTGCCTTCCTTATGGCTGATCTGGGAGTTCTRGTGGACAAAGATTCAGGCAAACATTTAACACGACATGTAAGTTATACTGAATCCTTTATAGAATATCTATCTTTCAACACCTGACGGCAGAAATGAATTTTTGTACAGTCAAAACTTCCTTATAACTCATTTTGTAAATAATGCCGTCTTTTTTGATTAAAGACTCATTTGCACAGGTTTACCTGCCAACTGGTTAGCTCAGTTGGTAAGAGCGTCGGTCTGTCGTGCAGAAGGTCATGGTTCAAGCCTCAGCTAGACCAACACTCAGGGTCTTAAAAATACTGAGGAGAAGGTGCTGCCTTTGTAATTACATTTGCAAATGGTTAGACCTTCAAGTCTTCTTGGATAAGGACTTAAAACTGTAAGCCCTGTCTCCTAACCCTTCCTAACCTGCAGTAGAATGGGGGACATAAAAGAACCACTGAGGACGTAAAAAGAAACCCTGGCAGTGACCACCCTCAGTGCCTCCACTTCATACTAAAAGCCATCTCTCATGCTTGTAAATTGCATAAAAAGCAATCTGTCATTCACAATTCCATGTAAAGCGCCTTTGGTTATATCCACGTGTATAGTAAAGGGCGCTATATAAATCATAATCATTATTATTATTACCCTTGTTTAAGAGCATATCTTATGCAAAAGTCAACTGTATTGTGCAGCTTGAACGACAACCCAACAAAAAATGTTTTAAACTCTCTTGGACTTTTAATGGTATCATTCTGTGAATAGCGTACTCATAAACAAAGCTATGCCTGTACAAATGAGTCTGTGCTTCGAAAACAGTGGTATACATGGAATGTGGAACTAATGTATTTAAAAAGCATTGTTGTTGACTGGCCTCTAGCCTACGTTACTAGATTCAAAGGGACTATAGTRAGAATTCACCAAAAGAAACCAGTTAACTGCATATCTGATTAGAATGATCATGATTTACCCAGGAATTTTGTAGTTGTAAGAGTTACCTATGATATTATTTCAATCTCTTTCTTGCAGCAAGTAAATCGACGTCAGCTAAGCACACATCGTTCATTTTTTAATTTATTATTTGGTAAGTAGTTACTGTAGTTCCTCTTAGTTCTGTCACAATACCC